TCGCTTAGTCGAGTCTGACGCTTGGAGACCCCAACAGAGTGTAGCCCGCCAGGCTCCTCTGTTTATGGAATTCTTTAGGCAAGAATACTGGAGTGGGTTGCCATTCCCTTCTCCAAGGGATCTTCCTGACCCAGGGATCGAATCCCGGCCTCCTGCATTGCAGGCGTCCCGGAATCTGAGTTCACTGTTCACCGTCTGAGTCACCAGAGAATAGCACAAAGAAAAGGATTCTTTGCGTCTTCAAACAAGATTTTCCTTTTCTTTTGTCCCTCAACTTTCTGATAGTATTTCACATCACAACGCAGAACGGAGAGCTGGTGGGGTCCGCTTCTCATCCACCTGGTGCTACCAGGACAGTGACAGAGCGACTCTCTCTGAATCTTCTGTCCAACTAACTGGTTAAAGCCATTATGTTCTTCAGTCAACATCAACATAGTCTGCGCTTTCTTCAGAGACCAGCTGACAAGCAGAAAAACCTTTGAAACTACCAGTGAGATGACATTTACATTTTTTTTAAACTCAGAGAGCCAATATTCAAGTCCAGTCTTAAAAAATTCAAACAATGCAGAAGTATAGAACAAAAACTTAGTCCCCTTCAATCTCTCCTCTAACCTCTTTTTCAAATTGTTAACAGTCTGGTGTATATCCTTTTAGATATTCTCATATAGCTACATAAACAATTACTATTTATTTATCTGTTTCCTATCATTTGGGATCATACACACAGTTCCATTTATTGCCTCTCAAGTTTCCAAAACATCTTGGAGCTATGTCGATACCTGCAGATCTATTCCACTGGCTGGGAAACCACAGCTTGGGGGCTGAGGCCAGCCCACACCTGTTTTGTAAAAGCGGGTTTATTGGAACATAGTCGCGCTCACATTTATGTCTTATCTATGGCTGCTTTTGTGCCACAAGAGGCGGGTAGGGCGATCACCACAGATGCCTAACAGCCTCCGAAGCCTAGTGTCCTATCAGCTTCTTCACAGAAAGACATTTTTTTAAACTAATTAATTTATTTGGCTGTGCAGGGTCTTAGCTGCAGCACGTGGCATCTAGTTCCCCAACTAGGGATCGAACCCAGGTCCCCTGCATTGGGAGCTCAGTCTCAGAGCCACTGGACAACCAGGGAAGTCCCTACAGAAAAACTTTGCTGATGACATTTGAGCTATTCCATTTTTACCACTGGCCTAATATTCCGCCTAAAGAGTACATTACATTTGACCGTTAAATATTTAGCTCCTTTGAAGGTTTCCACAACATGAACAATGCTGCAATGAGTAAGTACCAAGGATTACACCCTGAGAGCTCTTGCCCGAAGCCACTGTGTAATAGGCAACTTGAGAAAGCTGTTTCTAATTCCATATTCCAATCACTGAAATGGATCATGTGATGTGACACAGGTGCTAAATATGGAAACATTAGCACCAATCAGATTATAATACACAAATGCATCGAGTTAATGCTTGGCACTTTCAAATTCACACAGTGTTACATGTCAAATATACTCATGGAAAAAAAGAGAAATAAGAAAAAATAAGAGAAAGGTGCCAGGCACACAGGTTGCTCAAAGAATATTTGCTGACAAACAGCTTTTGAATGAATTATACAGTGCCTTGCCTATTGCAGGCAACTGATCTTTGCTGAAAAATTAATTTACGATAAGGAACTCAAATGCATACTTATTGGTGCTGTTAGTTACTCAGTTATGTCTAACTCTTTTGAAACCCCATGGACTGGAGCCCACCAGACTCCTCTGTCCATGGAATTCTGCAGGCAAGAATCCTGGAGTGGGGAGCCATTCCTTTCTCCAGGGGATATTCCTGACCCAGGGATCAAAGCCAAGAGTCCTGTGTCTCCTGCATTGGCAGATGGATTCTTTACTGTCTGTGCCACCAGACTTATTGACAGTTAAAAGTAAAAAAAGAATTCAGTCTGAAGTCACCAAGATCTCCTAGAATATTCACTCAGCTCTTCCCCACTACTGAAGCAGATGACAGAATGGAAGCCATTGCTCCTTTATGTATATAAAATCTAAATCATAGCAACCCACCAATGATGCAGAACACTAAAGTATGTGAAAAATCTCCATGAAGATTTTTCAAGAGCTGCTTGCATTCAGTTATTTATTTTTTATTATTAGTTTTATTTTTACTGTTAGTTTTATTCAGTTATTTTTCAAATCCACCCGCTGGTTGTGCAGTATTCTAAGAAGCAGAGAGCGTTCCCCTCAGGCACTTGGTCTCTGGGCACATAGTGGCAACTGGAATTGAGACCCCTGAATATAGTCAAGAGGTTTAAACTAAAGACTGTAACAGCCCTGCCAAAGGGCCTGGAAAAAACCATGCACACCTGCCCTCCCCTGGACCTGGTGTGAGAATTGTGTGTTATATATGAGTCCAGGGTCCGGATTTATACCATTTGTATCTCCTAGAACCCTGAGTTAAGGAGGTGTCTCTAGAGGTCTAGTGGAATTCCAATCCGGCAATGATGAAACCCTGTGGGATCCCCGCTGAAACAGACGCAGGACTGCGGCACCGCATGGCCACTGTGGGATCCCCGCTGAAACAGACGCAGGACTGCGGCACTGCAGGGCCACTGCGGCAGGACGGGGACTCCAGAGATTCCCACGGGAGGGGGAAAAGTCTTATGAAGCTGAAGCTGAACTTACGACAAAAAACCCCCCAGATACCACGTTAAGCAAGGTAAACCAGGATGAAGAAGCATTAGCAAATGCAGGCAGAAGATGCTGACAGTTATTGAATGGTTGACATGAATCAAGTCCCTAATGGCGAACAGGATGTACACTGTTTGCGGATTTTCTTTTCTGCATGCTCACTTATGTACTAGTTTTCTACAACACTTATTTTGTTGAGAAGACATTTTTAAGAACTATGTTTCATAGCAGAAAGCAGGTGTTCAGCCTGCTGTACTGCTGGGAGTTGCTGGAATATGAATTTCATGCAGCCAACCAAGAAATGTGGTCTTTCCCTGTTCTTCTCTGAGGCCAACGTTCCTGTCATGGAGAACAGGCACTTTACAGGGGAGACGATTCTTTGCAGTGGAGGAGGACATTTCCACAGCCCTCACTGGTACAGATTTAAAAGAGAAATGGAGTGTCTAACACACAGACTGACACATGGGTGGCTCACTCCACTGCGCTGTTAGGCAGATGCATGGTATGTGTGATCCTAGAGGATTCTGAAGGGAAGAAGAGGTGCCGGGATGGTAGGCCTGGGGTGTGAACAGCATCCTCCTCCTTGTGTTTACTTTAAAGCACTTGGTGATGAATGCAAATTTACCTATGCTCAATAATATCACTTATAAATTATATGTAGTTTCAACTAAAATAAAAGACAAACTCCTGCAGAAACTGTGCACCTGAGAATCTTAAAAGAACTAGTAACTGATCAGCAAACAAGAAAATGGCAACGCTGACTTCTCATTCCTAGAATGAGCTCTTTGGAAGTATAATATAGGACATGTATGTAATCTTTTTACATCACACACACACAGAGCAGACTCTTCTGCCCACAGAATTTTCCAGGCAAGAAAACTGGAGTGGGGTGCCATTTCCTACTCTAGGGGATCTTCCTGACCCAGGGATTGAACCCGTGTCTCTTGCGTCTCCTGCATTAGCAGGTGGATTCTTTTAACACTAGTGCCACCCGGGAAGCCACGTGTAGTAGGCTAAGAATGTTTTAATGGTAGACAAGCATACCAAAAAGGACCTGATGACCACCGCCCCAGACAACTAAGTCACTTCAGTACTGAGAAACTGTGTCTAGCAGCAAAGAAATTATCCTGGCGACAAGTAACCAGTGTCCTAAGAATGAATCCTTTCAGAGCCTGAGCTCCAGACTAAGGTGCTGGGGACATACGGACAGTGACAGCCTTTTGCTTCCCCGAGGTCGCGCAGAACGTATTACAACACTGGAGCCCTCTATCTCCTGGTAAGTCACACACGATGGAGGGCATACATGTGTGTGATATCTGCCCACGAGGATGCACACAGACACGAGAGCTCCCCAGAGGCTTTCTTTAAGGAAAAACAGGACAGTAGAACAAAGAGGGCTGCAGACAACATTTGGAGTAAAATATATCCATAAAAGGTATTTTAAAACATGTGTGCATTAACACCAGTTGTCTAAAAAGTCACAACAGCTGCAGCATGGATAACACGGGCTCTTTGCCAGCTGTCACTCCACTCTGCCTCTAAAATTTAAGTAAGTAAGCAACTATTTATTATTATTGTAACTCTTGACTCTGCTCAGATGCAGTTTTAAAAATTTTCAAATTTCAGTAAATTAACTATCTTGAGTTAACAAGTCACTCACGCTATTTCACACAAACGACTAAAATCAAGACCAGGTCGTGACATCATGGCCTGGGCAGTGCTTCTTGGGGACGGTGTTAGTCGCTGTTCGGTCCAAACTGGTTGCAGGTGCAGCGTGACGCCCGTCACCTCCGCCTTCTGGGTGGCTGGCCCTTCGCTTCGGCCACGTCTGGCCAAGCGGCCTCCGTGACTCTCCCTGGTGTGCACGAAGAGCACGACTCCCTTCTGTGTGCGACCCATTGAGACGCAACGCCTCACAGCAAGGGTCTGCAAACTGCAGCCTGTTTCCATATGGCCCGTGAACTGCGAATGGTTACACTAGAGCAAAAAGCGAGCCGAAGTGACTGACAAGGGACTGCTGGGCGGCCTTGGGGCGTGAGGCTCTAAGACGGTTTTCTTCAGGCTGACATGGACTTCCGGAATGAGGCAGTGGCTTAGGGTCAACAGGAGAGGATATTTGAAATCGGGCTCTTTGAAAAACATTAAGGGCTCTGTATTCTCTTATCTGGAATGTGTGTCTCAATGCTGTTTAAAGGAAGACAGAAAAAAGGCTACTTCTCCACATCAAAGAGGAACAGATAAGGGGTGGGAAGGACAGGAAACGAGAAACGAACGTTTCCGAGCCTGGAGCATTCTACTGCACAGGAACACATGCACCTCTTACTTGCACACGTGTAGGCATCTTTGCTGGTGAAGAGCTTCATGCACTGGTGGCAGCTAAAGGGACCCACAACGGAGATGGAACTGAATGCATGCCCGTTCACAGTCTTCTTGTCCTTCTCCTTCTCTTTAGAGTCTTTCTCCTTCTCCTTAATTTTATCTTTCTCTTTTTCCTTTTCCTGCCAAAGAAAACAATCGACATTACATTGTTAATCGAACACTGGAAGGCCTTCCCTTCTAGAAGGCTACTGGGCTACCTGTGGTCAACAGTGGCTGGTAAATGTTTTGAATCAAAGTTAGGAATGCTGTCCTGGACATAAAAAAATTTTTTTAATTAAGTTGTGTGCATTCGAGTTGCACTAGAAAAACCTTAGGAGGACTGGGCAGGTTGAACAGTTTTGTCCCTGGCTTGAAAAGTCAAAGTGTTAGTTGCTCAGTTGTGTCTGACTCTTCGCAACCCCATGGACTGTAGCTTGCTAGGCTCCTCTGTCCATGGGATTCTCCAGGCATGAATACTGGAGTAGGCTGCCACTGCCTTCTCCAGGGGATCTTTCCAACCCAGGGATTGAATCCAGATCACCGGCACTGTAGATGGATTCTTTACCATCTGAGCCGCCAGGGAAGCTATGCCAATCAACACGTTCATTGCCTAGGGACCAGCATGGGTGCTGGGGGAGGAGGAGCCTGCAGTGGCCCTGGGGCCTCCCGAGACAGCCACGCTGAGCCCATGGGGGAAGCCAGCGCCGAGCCCAGTAGCAGGGCAAGGAGCAGAAGAAAGGATGCGATGGTTGTGAGACCAGCCTGAGGGAGAGATGATTGAGCAGCGTGAAAAATGACTCAAGGTTCCCCATGACTGCCTCCCACCCACCACATACCCTCAAGAGAGGGCACATATCTGATAACTGCCTCCCCTACTCTAGCCAGAAATATGAACTATCCCCCATATAGACATTTGCTGTTCTTACTAATTAATTTCAAGGTTCAGCTTTGGCGCAATTTTCAAACTGGAGGAAAATGCAAAGAAATACTAATGAGTGCTAGACCCTTGGTAAAATATCCAAAGCGGTCAGGGGCATTTCAGGTACACACTACCCTTAGGAGATGAGGACTGTGTGATCTAACCACACACTCTTCATAAAAAGGTCCTTCCAGACACGGTTAGACAGACACTTGGCTGGTTAATCAACAGCAGATGAATGACTTTCTTTCAAACTAACTGGATCCTGAATGGCAATTTACAGAGGCAGAGGGATGCATTTAGTAGCAGTCGTCATCACCAACGTTAGGGTGCCCATTTTCCAGGGCATATAACAACACTATTGCTGTCACCCAAAACAATTCCTGAAAAAAGAGACACCCTGAAGTTAGTGATCATTGAAAACTACCAAAGGCCTTAGATTGTCAATCAATGCTTTCTATCTACATTATTTCATCTGATTCAATAACTCTGAAGTGAGTAGGGTGGGCGTTATGCCTCCCATTTCCTAACTGAAAAGATAAATAACAAAGATAATAGCAGGCAAGAGTTGGAACAATCTCTATGTGCTAAGCACTGCAGAAAGCAACTGACATGAAATTTCTCATTAACAACCCAATGGCGTGTAAGGACCAGTTCTGATTTCCGTGTGACACTCGAGGAGCCGAGGCTGAGAGACGGCTCATGTACTGGAGGTCATACACCAGTACCTGTCCAAGCTGGAGCTAACTTTCAGATCTGCCAACTGTAAAGCTCAGCTCTTGGTCACTGCACTCTACTGCCGAGGACTAGAGACGTTTGTGGACTCACAGAATGTCACACAGCAAATGATCTGCAGTTAAAATCAGAAACCCTGGTCTTCTGACTCTGTATTCAGAACTCATCTGCTATCCTGAAATGGTGGATGTTTGCTAAGTCTGTGATTCACATAAAGTCCTTTGTTAATACCCTCTGAGCCACCAGGGAAGCCCCCTGTGTTAACAGCATGCATATGATAAAAATCCAAGAATCAAAGAATCTAAAGAATCACTTTAGAACTATAAAAAACAACAGGAGAGGAAGGGAGGAAAAACAAACTACTTCACTTTATAAAACAGGAAACTGTTCTGAGTGAAAATTCGTTAACTGCTACAGTATCTAAAACTCTAATAGAAATCAGTATGAAGAAACGGAGTTTTCCTAATAATTGTTCTCTGAACTAAATTTTGCTGAAGGCTTCTTATATACAAAACGTTAAACTAAAGAACACCTGAGCTTTTTGCTCAAGAAAGCTAAAAAAGCTGCTCTGAGAGTTAAGAAAATCTGTAGGCAACTAGCTTACTCTCCCCCAAGCCTTGCTATGCTCTTCAAATCTGAACAGATAATCTCCCCATCCTTTCAGAGAACCCTGACCAGCTCCTCCAAGGATAAAACCAAAACCAAACAACAGCCTCCACTGTGTCTGTCTCTGGTGATCGGAAGCTAGTGCTGTAAAGAAGTCAGGCGCTTACCTCCCCATGCCTTGCTCCTATCAATCTCACTGTTATGAGGGGTGCTTCATGAAAACGACCCCATTTTGTCGACATGATTCGACCCCCATGCCAGGAAATATGCTCTCACGGGAGGAGGGGCTCATGCCGGCGGGGCAGGGCCTGGCAATTTTGAGCTGCCATTAGAGCAACCACTAGAGAAACTGTAAGAGGAAGCTGGGGACGGGTAGAGAAAAGGAACGGGGAGGGCTGAGGCTGCGGGTTTCCTCAAGACAAGCTTAACTCTTTGCATGCTGCTGGTGCAGCCCGCCGCCCAGGCACAGAGGACCCAGGGCGCAACGGGACAAACTCCCCTGCACACGCCGTGAGTGGGCAGTGCTTAAGTGGCGGGACGGGAGCCCTGGCAAAATGAGGCGGGTTTTTTTCCTCAATGCTGCAAGTTAAGGAACACATCTATTTAAACAGATGTCCTCATTTTAAAAGCCATACGTTTCTAAAGGAAACTTTTTTGGTGAAGTCGCCTATGGAAAGGCAGTGATTGGCTGTTTTCTGAAGTTTGATTTTTCCAGGCTTATCTCCTGCCAAAATGCCTTAAACTTATGTGCTGGGGAAATGGAAACTAATAATATTTAACGGGAATAATGCAAGAGACAACTGCACTAGGATACGATGAGGGGAAATGATATTTTGATTCTTCTAAACCTACCATTTTAGACAAGTAATTACGATTAAAAAAAAATAATTCTCTGGAAAACTGTAAAGCATACTATGATTAAGGAACTGAAGAAACAAGAAGGATGATGATATCTAATGTTGCTTTAAGTCTTGGCAAACACTACTTTACCCTAGTTAGCAGCTCTGAAAGGCTAAGATGTTTAGTTCTGTTTTAGACACTTCACAGGAACTGGGAGGTGAAGTTGAATGTCTTGTCATGAAGCCGGGGAGTAGATTAACATCTGTGCAGGAATCTAATCCTTGCATCCAAAAAGGCCTATTTCAAATCAGATTAAGAATTTGTCTCAAACATCTCTGACCATCTCCTACTCGTCTGCAAAGAGGAAAGCTTAGGAAAAAAAAAAGCGATGTGACAGATGGTTTAGAGAGGGTCACACCCCACTCCCTCTGTAATGAGGACATTTTATATATATATATATATACACATACACATAGTATGTGTGTCTGTTATGTTATGAGTCTGCAGCAAGCAGACTTACTTAGCAGGAAACAGTACTACTTCTTAAAGATACTAAAACACAAAAGCAGATACTGCCTGCCAGTCTTCCTGTTTTATTTCCTGTTTAGGTTCTCCTTCTTTCACACACATACACGGCTCAACATATTTATCTATTAACTCATGCCAGTTAACGAGAATTCTTGAAAGGACCTATAAAGGATCAATACTCAATTTCCCCCAAATGCCTCATACTCACATGGCTACAGATATGAAAATATATATAGCGTATATTATGTTATACATACAGTATATTATATAGAGAGTGCTTACACTAAAAAACTAGCGCTAACATCTATAGTAGCATTTCAATTTTTTAAGCATTATGGAGAAGTAACATTATTCAATGGGTAAGAAAATCAGTAGAGCCAGCATCATGACACGAAGAAAATATTCACTCATTTTTATGTTATCCTTTTAGAGAATCAAACATTTCTGAACGGAAAAGCCCTCCTGTGGATACAATGGCAAAGACAGACAACGTATTTAATGCAACCTAACATAAAATGTGGGGCTTCCCTGGTGGCTCAGTGGTAAAGATTCCCCTGCAATGCAGGAGACATGGGTTTGATCCCTGGGTTAGGAAGATCCCCTAGAGAAAGAAATGGCAACCCATTCCAGTATTTTTGCCTGGGAAATCCCACAGACAGAGGAGACTGGTGGACTATATAGTCCAAGGGGTCACAAAAGAGTTGGACATGACTTAAGTGACTAGACAACAATATCATCATAAAATGCATTACTTCACCAATTCTCCTGTTTTTTACTACCTTTTGGTATATGGACAAAAGGTGAGCTATCCTTTGTGAGGACAAAACAATCTTATTTGAAGTGAGCTGGTAACAACGATCAAAGATGACTCTTAAGCTTCTTAACACACTAATAATGTGGCTAAAGGGGTGCCTACACCCCTGATAATGTGAAATGGATTGCAATCCAGGGTTACAGATTTGTAACTTTTGGAGAATTTCCATCGCTAGAGATAGCACTGGAGAAGGCAATGGCAACCCACTCCAGTGTTCTTGCCTGGAAAATCCCATGGATGGAGGAGCCTGATGGGCTGCCGTCTATGAGGTCGCACAGAGTTGGACACAACTGAAGCGACTTAGCAGCAGCAGCAGCAAAGATAGCACAAGCTGCCAGAGACCAAATCTTAGGGCCAAGAGCCTGAAAGGGGAAGCAGTCTCATTGCAAAAGAGTGCAGTCACTCTGAAAAAGAGAAGATGGGAGGTGACAGGTCACCTGAAGACACCCTGTTGCTGCTGACAGACTGCACTTGCACACAAATTACCTTCTTTTTGCCTGCCCCTTTTCAGCCCTCTCCTAGCAAACTCCAGACTCCAGTCCTTTGAAATTATTTAAAAAAATTAAAGGAAAGAGACATTGTGCAGCTCACTCTTGCTGAAGAGCGAACATGAAATGAACAGTATTACTTGGTAGACGTCAGATCACGAGTTATGACCCAGTCTGTGACCTGAAGCGTACTTCTCTGTGCCGCGGTTGGTAAAATGAGACCGGTGCGAGATGCTTTTAAAGGTCAGGTCCCAGTTTCTGCGTTCAGTCTCACGTCGTTTAATTCACGCCAAAGCCATCAGCAACATATTCACTACTCTGCCCCTAAGCTGGTGTCATGAGGGAGATGGATGGAAAAGGGGGAATTCTCCACTTTACTCTGGTCTTCTGGTTAGAAGTTTGTTTGGAGAAAAGACTTCACAGTTTAAAACCAAAATAAAAGGCAAGAGAAACACTTGAAATCATCCGAACAGATGGTAAAAGTGGTCCAGGTAAAGACTGTGTGCTTTGGCTCCTCCAGAGGCCCATCAGCACCTGGGAGAATGCTGACTCCATTCAAACACACCTGGCCAATTAACACTGCTCTTTCAAGGAGGCCTTCTTCTGCTGATGCCAGCCAGTGGCCACGCCAGCTGATAAGACAGACACGGCTCTATTTTCAGTCCTGCTGCCACACAAAGAATAATAGGTGTTCTGCCCTCTTTAACCTTAACTGTTTTGAATTCTAAGACAAGACTAAGCATGAGGTTAACGCTTAAATATGAGACCATCCCAGAAACAGTTTGCTAGACTCTTCATGAGTCTTCTAGTTTGCCTACTTTCTGTCCATTCTGCACCTGGGCAGGTGAAATGAGGAGAAAATGTAACTGTGATGGCAGGTTTTCTGGAAAAATTTCAGTGATGACCAAACCTAGTATTTGCTGAAAGAAAAGAGATCTTACCTCATTTACAAAACTCAGTAATTATGTACCTGAGTGTACGCATATAACACACAGATATATAGTGATTCCCATGCAAGAAGTCCTTGAGTCTCAGTTTTTTCCTCCTTATGTTGTTGGAGGTTAGGTGGGTGAATAGTGTAGGAAAGTGAGAGGCAGAAAGTTTTCCTCACTGATTTGAAACAGAATCTTCCGGTTTAGCAATGGGAATCAGTATAAGAAAGTTAACTGTTTTTTTCCTTTCTAAAAATATATTTAAAAAATATTAGAAGAGTATTTATCTCTATGTGGGATTATTACAGGTACTTTTTATTCCTGATTTTTTCCCAGATGAGGTACCTTACTCCTAATAAAGGGAGATAATATCTACCTTACAATGTGTGGAAACGATTAAATCAGATAATACATGGGAAGCTCTCAGCATACAGTAAAAATTCAATTAGTAGTGTTATCTCTTATGGTTGTTTTTCTTGCTGTTAGTTTTCTTCAGATATTAGCTTCCTGGAGTCAGCATCTGTCAACTCAATTCCACAGGACCCCATCATGTAATTAGTTCCCGGCTGCGTGCTGTGCCGGGAGCCTACTGAGGGCTGGCTGAGGGGTCACCCAGAAACCCCACAGCAGTACTCACCTTGCTCTTTTTACTGCTGGACATTTTGTTCTTGATGTAGCTGAACGTACGACTGACTTTGGTTCCGCTCTTTATTTCAAAATCTTTCTTGGGGCTTGGTGGCAGGAAATTAAAGTTCTCTTCTGTTATACTAAATAGAAAACAGAAGAGTTTTAAAAAAGATTACAGACGTTGGTTTTTTAAAAATTGAAACACTCTACATATAATTCTTTGTAACCATCACCGTCAGGTATTATTCTGGCTACAAGTTACAGCCAACTTACATGCTCAAGTGCAAATGGGCAAAGGAGTAAGGGTGGCCAGAGGCTGCTGAATGGTTTTATATAATCATATCAACCCAAGAACACAGCATACCACAATGCTCATGTCCTATTGCGAAAACTTGGCTAAATTTTCTATGTCAGTTATTAGTGTTTCACTACTGGGTTTTCAGGGATTTGATGCTAATTGTTGATTAGAATTAATGATTAATTAGTCATTAATTAAATTAAATTAATTAACCTAAAACAGCACCCAATGTATAAACTTCTTTGCATTTAACAGGTGTCTAAAAAGAAACCCACAGATGCAAACTAAGGAGTTTTTATGACTGAATGCATATACAAGTTCCCTCATAGCAGAGATCACACCTTTTCTTTAGGTTTCTGGCATACTGGACCGTCAATATGTGAATTCAGTTATGCACGATTTAAGGAGGCAATATATTGCATGGTAGGTAGAACGGACACTGTGTGCAGAAAGAGCTACTGGAGGAGTTTCAGAGACCTGGAGGTACCGGTCTACTTGCTTAGGACACCTGTGTCCTAAGCCCATCCGTGATGGGCATCTCCAGACCCTGGGAAACTCACCAAGGCTGAGTTCCTCAAAGAATGCTGGGCCCTTGTACACATTATCATTTGTATACACACACAACTATGTAGAACTGTTACATAATACATCATCTGTTATATAGAAACCTATTCAAACTACTTTCCCTAGGGTCTCAGAACAGTTATGCTAGAAGATTTCCATGGAAAAGTAGTGTTTGCCTCAAGGGCTTCTGTGAGAGCAGAGACAAGTAGGACCACATGGGTCCTGTTCAGTAGCTCAAGTCTATTTATATTTAAAATACTGCTTGGAATATAAAGCAGTCTGTTACTAAGACAAAGGGGAAATGAAAATCACTGCTCTAGAAAGAATAAAGAGTAAGCAGAATTTGAGGTAAGTGCAAACAAGAGGACTCATATCGATAGAGTTCTGGATTACTGGGTCACAACTGACGACTTTGTGAAAAAGAAGGCAATTTATAAGACACTGCAGTGCAACAGTGAGAACCCCAATTACACTTAAGATTGAATAGTTAATCTTGTAAGCTTGAAAAGTAGAATATAAAAATAAACAATGAGTCAAAATAGCGCTCTCTAGCCTGCTGTTAAAAACTAAGTCACTTCCCTGGACAGAGGTGTGTACTGACTGGACCTCTACAGAAGAAAATAGCTTTAAAGCTTACAGGGGCTAAGTAGGCAGCAATATTGCATGAATACCAATACACACACACCGTGAAACAAAATGTTCTTAGACTTAGAAGTTAAAAATTGCCATAAGCAAAGAGTGCAAAGTACATAAAGTTAATATAGTGTATCCTATGTGACTAAGTGCAACCAATAATCTTTATCCATAGGATGCCATAAAGAATAAAAGTAGAAAACTATTCAGGACATAAATTAAAAGACCAATATTCCATATTTATCAATCAAGGAAGTAAAATTCCAGTAAGTTCAATTAACTTATTTTGCATAAATGTGTTAAGACATTTCAGATTTCCTTCATTTTATCTTGAGAAAAGGAGTAGCAAAATAAATGTATATTGTACCTTCCAGTCAGATTAGAACTGGTGCTGTGGAAGGGCCGTGAACCTGGAAAACAAGAATGGCAGGATAAAAGTTAGAACAAAAGCATTTTACTTGGATAACAGATAAAATGTTTAGTGTTTTTATGACTGACACAGATAAAGCAAAAAATAGCCTCTGAAAGCCCGTGTGGGGTGCTTTTCCTTCTGAGGGTTTAGAAGAAGGAAAAATTAAAAATGAAACCCTCAAATTAGAACTGAAAATTGGCAGCAATTGGGAGTGAATTTCTCATGGGGAAAATTTCTTTTAATCCAGGATTCAAGTAACCAAAGAAACCCCAAAATCAAACAATGAAAATGCTCAAATGTATGTTTAATTTCTGTTCTTATGAAGGTTCATCAGAGTCCATAGACCATCTTTCTGAGATGCTGTCAGAGAAGGAATATACAACAAGAAGTGACATGTCATTTTCTGTATGCTATTAAATTTTGTATTCATATATTTCTACACTAAAAGTCTAGCTAGTATATGCCTGACATTTTCCTGAGCATGCCTAGAAATGGATTAGTGAACAGGAAAGAGCATTAGACCCAACTTATAAGGTCTAGGGTTTGCCACTAATTTGGGGCAAATGAAATGAAATCTCCGATTTCATTTCTCCATCTCTGAAATAAGATAAAACAGATGCTAAGGGTCTTTCTAGGTTGATACTGATAAAATGAGTAGGGCAGATATATTTTTCCTCCTTCCATAACTATCAGACCATAAACTGAAATGAGTCATTACATCAACAGCTAAGTCAGACAGGGTATTAACTGGAACAAATAAAGAAGTAATGATACCATTATTTTACCTATGACGTGTTAATAAAGGTTAACCTACTTTAGGGCTCAGATGATAGAGAGGCCGCAATCACACAGTGACAAGTGGTTTCCAAGTTTTAGGAGATCCAAGTTTAGAAACACCTTCTGTGTGTGATTCCAGGTAGACAAAGTTTGGTCTGTGTAACTACTGTTATTATGTGGACAAAACATACCTTTCTCCTTGAGGTTACTGAAACTTCGATTTGACAGAGGTATGAAAAATGTTCCACTATCAGATTATCAACATTTGAAACTCTCAAAAACTCCCAAATTGTTCCAGATTTTGAATAGAAATGCAAAGCTGAAGTCATTACTGACATAGAGCCAACAGGTGTAAATAATGCATTAGAAACTTAAAAATGAATTCAAAGGCTTCAAAAGATCGCTTTTATAGCTTTTCCTTTTAATTGTTTGGGGCTTTCCTTCTATTTCACTTATGATGCACAATAACAACAGCCAGAAGAGAGAGGAAGAGGAAGAGGAAGAATAAGACTGAAAGGTCTGTCTTTCAGTTCTGCATGATCTGGTGAAACCACCAGCATTTAAAGCTCAGAATGCCTTCATTTACCTAAACAAAAATTAAGAGTGTGGTTTAGATTGGGGGCTTTAAAACTTTTACACTTAAGAAGCCCCGAATGATATAAACACCATCAAGTTCTCTCAGGCTGCCAGGATTCTGCTGTACATGTAATCAATTACCTAGTAAGTTATCACCTCAGTAATATGAACAAAGTAAAAATAAAACTCATAAAGAAAAACACCAACCAGCAGAGAGCCTGGCCAAGAATAAGCTCCCAGAAGGTTTCTGTCAAATAAACTAAGAACTCAACAAATACGTGATACAAATACTGTGAGAATCTGTAACTCCTATAAGGATTTCCAACTTTTTTGCTGCTAAAAAATACTTCAATTCATTTTAATTCATTTACTATGACCTCTCAGGTATGGTTCTGAAAACTAATTCACCAATGTTTCTAAAATAAATGCTTCTGACATTCCTGAAATGTCAAGTTTTCAGAGCATCTAAGAACATGATATAACCAACGTTACTTCCATGACATAATTACAGACAGAAGCAAAGAAATGTCATTGAATTTAGCCTATTAAGTACTACTGCAAGTAAATAGCATATTTCAACGAGCCTTTTTTTGTTTTAAGGCATGAAACAACCTGCAGACCTAATACAGTAACATTCCAGGACTGGAACTGTTAGACGGACATAGTATTTTTAAAAGTGTGTTCCATGGAACACTTGTCTCCTGAGACGTCATACATTGTCTTGCACATACTATGGTTTACCTGGTTAATACATTTTGGAATCACAGCATATTGAACACTACCTTCAAAACTCACAAGATACACATAAGCCTTTGAAATCTGCTTAAAATAGTTTCCTAAATTTATATGTTCAAGAACCAAACTCTTCCCCCCCCTCATCTCTCTTATCCCCCCTACCCCATAATTTTCACTGTATTTTTGAAATTAAGGAACACATTTTGAGGAATGCTGGATATTTGATTCAAGGGTTTCTTTGAGCTTCTATTCTTTGTGATGACATTATGTTGGATTAACTGAGTAACCAGTGCTGATTAACTGCATAACTGGTAATAATTTTATATTAGTGGTAGAATAAACACTATTGGAAACTTAGTTTTATTTGCCAGGCTAACCTATTTCCAAGCATATTACAAATACTTTGAGATGAACCAGCCTTGAGAATTGGAAAAACTCAAAAGTTGTAGAAAAAAGTTTGACAGTGACTTTTAAATGTCACAGATGGGACATCTAGGTATCTGTCCCATGAGACAACTTCCGTCCTGTGACAACTGGTATGGAGTGAAAATCTTATATGCCTATAGCAAAGGCCGTTTACTTGTGAAAAAGTATTGAAAATATAAGATCTTCATTTGTGCCTAAGCCACTTTCCTTTAAGAACAACACAAAAATGTCACCTTGAACTTGATATTGCTAAATATTACATTTTATTTATTTTTTATTTTTCTGCCTTTTTCATTTATTTTTATCAGTTGGAGGCTAATTACTTACTTTACTAAATATTAAATTTTAATATTTAAGTATTAAATACTGCTCAAACTTAGGATCAGCAAATGGTGCTGAATAAGCATGCTTAATCATATTTATAACTGCCTAAGACTAATTTGATTTATATGAAAACAATTCATTATTTAGCTTTATATAGCAAGTAGTTTTTCCATTAATAACAGCAATCCTGGAATCGTCTAGAAATCTCATACAACTATAAAGAGTAATTTTCATGGCGGTCAGGATTCATTTCCTCTCCGAGTTTACTAAAACTAATATTAAACTAGATTATTAAGTAATGATATAATAATCTGAAACCTACAGTGTAGTGAAAGGATTGAAAAATAAAAGTTCCAAAGGAACTTCTTCCACCCAATTAATTCACGTGGTTTAATCTCACAGAAAAGATATTCTTAAAGAACTGGTCTGGGGTAGCTGCCTGGTGGCCTAGAGGTTAGGATTCGAGCTTTCACTGCCATGGCCTGGATTCAGTACCTGGCTGGAGAGCTAAGATCCCACAAGTCATGCAGCACGGCACCCCTGCCCCGCCAACAAACAAATAAAAAAACTGACAAAGACTCGGGGCGGGGGGGAGGTGAGAAGAAAAATGTTTGACAGTGACTTTTAAACGTCACAGATGGACATCTAGGTATCTGTCCCATGAGACAAAAGAGGGGAAACAATGACAGTGAAATCTACATGCCTGAATGGAACGTTTTGAGAAGTTAGTACACAGCATTACAAAAGGCACAAGGCGGGCTGGGAGCCCCTTACGCCTTTGCAGGTATCTCTGTTCTGAGATGATGTCTCGGGCCCTGGAACTGGGTCAGTGGATCAGTCAACATTGGTGGTGTACAAGACAAAAACTTTATAATTTTATCCAAATTTATTTTCAAAGCAAAGCATGAAGGCAAATGATTCAGCAGTGGTGACATGCAAGAGGATTAAAGCCCCCCAGTCTCTTAGTACCAAGCCTACAGCATTTCAGCGCTGGTCAGGCCCTGGAGAGCAGCCCCTGGACCCCAAAGTTGCTTACTTACTATGCAACTCCTCCTCCTCATCACTGGAGTGAGAAGAGCCAAGAGAAAAGAGAGTTTTAGACTTAAGGAGGAGAGGTGAGATGCTGACGGAGAGCGAGATCCGCCGTGCTGGCCGCATCTGCTGCTGGGCTGAGGAACAGGTTAACAGAAGACATTAGCGCCTGCGGATCACACCAAAACAAAGACCACGGTGCCGAGAACCATGTCACTGGCCTGCAGGATGCCAGGGAGGCTGTCTAGGCTTCTAGGTGTTCTGTATTCACATTTTCACCTTTCTTCCTCAATATGCAGAATGGTAATGCGACTTAAGAAAATGCATCCAACAAAGATGTACTTGTTAGATTGTGAAAACAGGAAGTGTGCTACTTTTCACAGCCATCATTAACAGCCAGAGTTTTTTTTTTCCTTCAAGGTTAGGAAACGTCTGGCATGGTGGTGTTCCTTGGGATTCTCTATCGGCTCTCTTGCCGCCCACCCCAAACCTCCTCATTCACTGTTGCCTCTTCAAGTACAATCTGCAGGTGATACAGTGATGACTCACAGCTTTCTATTTTCAAGTCTGGTCTGTCCTTTGAATTCAAGCCTCATTCATCTCACTGCCTACCTGTGGGCAGACATCCCACAGCAGCTCAAACTCAACAAGCACATACACCAACTCAGGCCCTTCCTCCAATCATTCCTCCTCGTTTACTCTTTCCTTTGGTGAATGGTACCTAACACCTAACTCATCATACAGGACAGGAACCTGGACACCACCCTTCAATCCTTTTATCGCCTCTCACTCAGCGCTTTTAATTCTGTCTTCTAGAATTCTCTGAAGATCAACTTCTTCTTCTCTACTGCCACTGCTTCGGGCCAGCACCTGCTCTCATCAGAGCTCTGCAAGAGCCTCCTACTCACCTACCAGCCTCTCCTTCCCAACACGATCTTCAGTGAGGTCTCTGCAGTGTCAGAATCAATCAGTCGACTTAACAAAAATCACTCCACTGCCCTCAAACAAGAAGCCCAGAGTCCTCAGTCTAGCTCTCCACCTGCTAACAAACCCAGTGATTTCCCAGTGATTTCCTCTTGGTCTTGACTTTGGCATCACTTCCCCCCAGGGCTTCCCTGGTGGCTCAGA